AGAAATTTTGAAGCCGACCAGAGGAGGTTTTCTCCATTTGTCACACGGAAACAAAATCTGAGAATGAATAACGTAACATCCTCGACGGGGCATCCATGTATGTAAAGTTCCATGAATCTTGTCCAGTATGGAAAATTTGAAGCGGGTCATATGAAGCATTTTCGAGTTATAAACGAAAATTTTAGGAAAAGAAAAGTAAAATGTTGCTGATAATGTTTTGAAAATAGAAGAATCTATCCACATTAAAATTAAAAAATGCCCTAACATGCGAATTATATTTTTTCAGTTTTCTTTTCTCGTTTATATTACACTTCCAATTTCTCTACAATTAACAATTAGCTTGACAAAGCTCCTGGAGAGTGAAACGTTGCCACAGTAAAATATCACATTAGTTGCACTTGTGTCCTTTTACTTTACATATTGTCGATAATTCTACCAACATATATTCAATGGAAATGGTAAACTAGGATATACACAAAACAAATCTAATTCAAATCTTTCAAAAGGGCCATAGAAACCAATATGCTAAACTACACAAGCACATAAAGTTGGAAGCTACTGAGACGCTGCACCATCAAGCACTCAGCATGGAATGATTAAGTCAATAAGATGCGACACTCAGAAATTATCGAATGAGAGGTTGTATTTAATTTTTTTCATTTCCTTCCCCACACAGGCGAAAATCAATCCAATTTTTTCTATAAGCAAGACTGACCAACTGTAAAGAAAGCAAGTTTAATATTTACAAATATCTCGTGAGCACATAGATGTTATTGGCATATAAAAGACCATTAAGTTGTTTTAATCTTTGATTACCTTGTAAAGTCAAAAAAATATTTCACTAGAACCAATTTGATTAATAAAATTGGCACATTATTACTTTCTCAAGCTAACATTAAGAGATTGAAGGTGTAATTTCCAGTTATTACTTAGAATACCCAAAAATTGTGCCTTCATGGGCTAAATCCATGAAACATTCCATCTATTTCATACGACGCGTCAACAATAGGAAAATGATGCCATTCATAATTGTAATATTTTACTCAGAGGAAAGTACTGATTCGTAGGAGTCATATGACGCCTGTGGAATGGGAAGCATTCATATTTGATCACAAAAAAATGCAATAACATTAAATAATGTTATACCATTTCGATATTAAAAGTGGTAAAATAGTATCAACACACTCCATTAACTACACGCTACTTCTGCTAAGCAGAATACAAGAGTGTTGAATTTCTGAAGCCGAGCATAGGATCTTGTATATCACGGGAAAAAAAAATTAATGATCAAAGTAGCATAATGCATAGGGTATCCACGGAGGCATATAGACCCATGAATCTTGCCCAAGATATATTACACATATAACGCTGTGTAGTTTTAAAAATAGGTTAGATAAATACACGAGTTGGTGTGGGTGGGTGTGAGTTGGACCTGAGTAGCTTGTGCTAGTAAATCTGATGCCATGCTCCTTCCTTAAGTGAATGTGACCTGACTAGGTTGGGTCATTGGCTTAAGCCGGTAGGAAACTTGGACCTGCCTCGCATGGGCCAGTGGGCCTGCTGCAGTGTTCCTTCTTTCTTATTTCCTCATGTTCTTATGTGATGTAATTTTTAAGCCGCTCGAACAAGGTGTTCTCTCGAGTAATAACAAAATTGTGAGGAAATCGCAAGAAAATCTTGCTAAGAATTTTTCAAGAAAGAAAAGTATCTTTTCATTATACTTAAAAACACCATAAAACCTCGGATTTTTTTTTTTTTTGCTGTATCCTTTTACAGTTTTCTACAAATCTAAAAGAAAAAATAATTCCAATTCGGTAATATTGATAACAAAAATGGTAAACTGGGACCTACACAGTCCAAAAGTAGTACAAAAATACGTCCAATTAAGATACAACAGTATTTTGGGTTTGAAGACGTTCATAATAGGCATTCTCAAATTATGATATTTGAAATAATTTACTAAAAATAATGGCAAACTGAAATTTACACTGCTCAAAGTGACAAACTGTTGTAATAAAGCCCACCAATGGTAAAAGTGTAAAGCTGATCAGAAAAAGCATTCTCCAGTGATTGATCGGATTTCTATGATTTCAAGTTTTTTAACTATTTTAGCAACATTTCAAATTTGTACCTAGTCAGACTAGATTCATTATGTATCATCCTTATTAATAATATTTTGAAGCTAAGTAGAAAAAGCATTCTCTAGATATTCAATAAAAAATTAATATTACACTTTATTCAATAAAATTAGCAACAATGGAATTTTATGGCAGGCACATGCACCGTGAGCCTTGTGTTCAGGAAACAATACCAGTAGTGAAATTTTAAAGCCAATCAGATGAATAATTCTCCAGTTATGGTACGCATTCCAATGATTAAAAGATTTTTACTAATTTACTACATCAACAAATTTCCTGCACATTACTGGCTAATGAATCCTAAGATTCATTAGCCAGTAATGTGGTCGAACGGGAATAAGATCGTCAAATTTGCACCTACACATGTGAAGTTCACTGTTCACATGTCGATGAATTTTTCGGCTCCTCATTTGAATGTTTGATGTAACGCCATTGACTAATTTGGAAGTTATCCGAGCCATTCCAGGTTGCTAGGAATAAATTCAGCAACTTTGGTTAATGGGGAGGTGAAAATGTCATTTATTCCATGACTTGTGGCCCCGTTACCGTACACAAAAAGTGTTGATAAATTGAAGGTGATTGGATGAGGTGTTCTCTGTTTATGAGCGAAATAAATTTTAAAAGCTGGAGGAAAAATAAAGAAAAATCAGGCAACCTCTTAAAGGTACCCTTTCGGATACCTAATAAAGACGACGAACTATGAAAGCTTGGGAACGATCAGTAAAGGTGAGTAATGGATCTGATTCCAATTCGTTTTCTAACCATATCAGTAAAATTTCGTTTGCACCTACTGAGACTATAATTTTTGGGTATTCTTCTTATACGATGCATTATCAATAATGTGTTCAAGCCAATCAGAAGAAACATTTTTTGGTTATGAAATTGGAAATATAAACACATATGCAGTTTAATGTGATCCTTTATTGACAACGTTTAGCCCACACAGTGGGCTTTTTCAAGTCACAAACAGAACTACCTGGGGTGGAAGGTACGTGAGTATTTAGTCAGGTTCAGAATGTTGAGGTCAGATGGAGAATGCTGCATCTGATTATCTGCCGAGTGGGGTTATAGAGTCTAAAATCTGAACCTGACTATAAATACGTACCTTCCACACCAGGTAGATCTGAACATCAAAATGGTATAAAATACCGACAGGTTGGTAGGTAAGACACAAAGGCAACAGTTAGGCAACTTTATTCCGAAACGTTTCGCCTACACAGTAGGCTTCTTCAGTCGAATACAGAAAGTAGGCAGGAACAGTAGAGATGTGAAGACGATGTAATCAGTCCATCACCCTTGAAGTCGTACATTCTCACTACTACTACTACTACTATGCACCTCTCCTTCCGACAGTATTTAAGTCTCCGCACTGTCGCTTGATCTTCAGATAGTTCCTGACTATGGAACTGAACTCTCCAGGCTGAGGGACTGACAACCTCAAATTCTACGACTTCAAGGGTGATGGACTGATTACATCGTCTTCACATCTCTACTGTTCCTGCTTACTTTCTGTATTCGACTGAAGAAGCCTACTGTGTAGGCGAAACGTTTCGGAATAAAGTTGCCTAACTGTTGCCTTTGTGTCTTACCTACCAACCAGGTAGATCTGTTTGTGACTTGAAAAAGCCCACTGTGTGGGCGAAACGTTATCAATAAAGGATCACATTAAACTGCATATGTGTTTATATTTCCATTGTGTCGGTATTGTATACCATTTATTTCCATGGTTATGAAATTATTGAATGTTAATTAATATGGCTATTAATTAAAAGTCAAAGTGCTATACTTTGATTGTAGATATGAAGCATAACCATGACTGTTACAAGAAATATGTACATTTCGGTCACAGTTCCATCTTTCCATTTGTGTAGACGAGATGATTCTGCAACATGTATTATACCTGTTCGTCTAGCTGACGATCAAGTTCATGAGCAGCTCTCTCTGATACAGAGAGAGAAAGAATAACAGATAGACAAAGACAGAGAGACAAACAGACAGAGACAATCATGTTATGAGTGTGGAGCACTTCGAACAAATAGAAAACATATGCCAAAGTTCACTGAGGGCAGTGCTGATGGTGCAGTGCACCATCAACAATGTAGAGTGACATTCTGTCTGACACCGTGCTTCAAGGAGTCTCGTATACTTCAGCACGTCTAAAAACGTTGCTGAGACCTAGAATTTGTATATATTTCTAGAAAATAGCATGTGAGCAAGGCAGGTGAATATGTTCACCTGTCAGTGTGTTTGTGACTGATTTCTATTTCCGTACCTAATATTTGTCTCAGAACAAAGATTGGCCATAAAATCACAAGATCTACTGTAAATTGTAATTATCAGAAATAAAAACCACGTAATTAAAAAACGAGAAGAAAGTTGTTTCTGCAACATTTCTGCAAGTTACTGGACTCCATGTTTCAGTCAGGTGAGCATCCAGTCTACCTACCTGGAGGATATTCCAGGGATCAACGCCCCCGCGGCCCGGTCCACGAACAGGCCTCCCGGTGGATCAGGGCCTGACGTAGTCCAAAGTACGAACCACAGCCCGGCTGATCCGGCACCGACTTTAAGTATCTGTCCAGCTCCCTCTTGAAGGCAGCTGGGGGCCTATTGGTAATTCCCCAACTTAGCCGCTGGCGTGCGGCCAGCAGTAACAGCCTGGTTGATCAGACCCTGATCCACCATGAGGCCTGGTCTCAGACTGGGCCGCGGGGGCGTTGGCCCCCGAAACCCTCTCCAGGTAAACTCCAGGTAAACGGCTAGCGGAAATACGTAGATCAACGCTGTGACAGTTAAAGGGTTAATAAACATCAAAGGAAATGAGTGAAAGTAAATGGACATTTACTCCCTGTTAACACTCACGTCGGTTAAACCTGAGGTCGATGTAAGTGAAGACATGAGGTGGGTTGGAAGATGCCAGAGTAAGATTAAAGGGAGGGCCGTGTCCTAGTGCCCATACGTCGTCATCCGTGGCTTTCAAGACACCGAGGAGCTTATCAGGGGCACCCTCCACCACGTGGAAAACGGTGGGAGGTATGAGCCGCGGGGGGCAGTCGTTGACGTCAGTGACTGTAATGGTGAGGGTAGCAGTGGAGGACAGTGGTGGAGTGCCACCATCCACTGCAACGATTATGGCCTCACCCAGAGCTCCTCCAGGAGCCTCGCGGTCAAGGCTCTTCACCAATGTCACGTCTCCACTAGCATCAACGGTGAGAGAGTCCCAACCTCCTGTCAAACGGTATTCCACCTCCTGATGGCCAGTCTGGTATATAAAGGCAGAAATGAATAACATCCTAGGGATTGCAAAGGATCACTTCAATAATTCTACTAGTTCATGCAAAACAAATCCCACTCACGCCCAACAGTTCCAATCCAATGTATTCCTAAAACTTTTTTTAGATCTGAAGTTGTGTGAGCAGTAACCATTTTTTGTTTGGTTATATATTTTTTGCACCTTACTTTTAGCTCGTTCTCAAGCTTCTCTTCCCTTAATTAGTATTACTTCTGGCATATCCACCTCGTTCTACGGTCTTCAAGAAATGTGCAGTTTCTGCTCATAGTGTAAAATATAAATTCTGTATACTTATTCATATAAAAGCAACAATTTATCAGCTTTATTGTGAAGAATTATATACTGGTGTATTATCTTCAGATGTTTTGTTAAAATAAAAATAGCTTTAGTTTTACACATCCATATTTATATATATATATATATATATATATATATAAATATATTAATATATTATATATATATATATATATATATATATATATATTTTAGTAGGTTGGTAGACAGCAACCACCCAGGGAGGTACTACCGTCCTGCCAGGTAAGTGTGAAACGAAAGCCTGTAATTGTTTTACATGATGGTAGGATTGCTGGTGTCTTTCGCTCTGTCTCATAAATATGCAAGATTACAGGTACGTCGTGCTACTTCTACTTACACTTAGGTCACACTACACATACATGTACACGTTTATTTATACACACTCATCTGAGCTTTCTTTGATTTTATCTTAATAGTTCTTGGTCTTATTACTTTTCCTTTTATATCCATGGGGAAGTGGAATAAGAATCTTTCCTCCGTAAGCCATGCGTGTTGTAAAAGTCAACTAAATTGCCGGGAACAATGGGCTAGTAACATCTTTTCCTGTAATAATTGCTAAAAAGAATAAGAAGAAGAAAATTGCCAAAGTGGGAAGTCTGAATGTACGTGGATGTTGTGCAAAAGATAAGAAAGAGATGATTGTGGATGTTATGAATGAGAAGAAGCTGGATGTCCTGGCTTTAAGTGAAACAAAGCTGAAGGGGGTAGGAGAGTTTCAGTGGAGAGGAATAAATGGGATAAGGTCAGGGGTTTCAAATAGAGTTAGAGCTAAAGAAGGAGTAGCAATAATGTTGAAGGATAAGTTATGGCAGGAAAAGAGGGACTATAAATGTATTAATTCAAGGACTATGTGGAGTAAAATAAAGGTTGGATGCGAAAAGTGGGCTATAGTAAGCGTATATGCACCTGGAGAAAAGAGAAGTGTAGAGGAGAGAGAGAGATTTTGGGAAATGTTGAGTGAATGCGTGGGGAGTTTTGAACCAAGTGTGAGAGTAATGATGGTTGGGGATTTCAATGCTAAAGTGGGCAAAAATGTTGTGGAAGGAGTAGAAGGTAAATCTGGGGTGCCAGGGGTAAATGAAAATAGGGAGCCTTTAATTGAGCTATGTGTAGAAAGAGGTTTGGTAATAAGTAATACATATTTTATGAAGAAGAGGATAAATAAATATGCAAGGTATGATATAGCACATAATGAAAGTAGTTTGTTAGATTATGTATTGGTGGATAAAAAGTTGATGGGTAGGCTCCAGGATGTACACATTTATAGAGGGGCAACTGATACATCGGATCATTATTTAGTTGTAGCTACAGTTAGAGTTAGAGGTAGATAAGAAAAGAGGAAAATGACAATAAAAAGTAAGAGGGAGGTGAAAGTGTATAAACTAAGGGAGAAGGAAGTTCGGGTGAGATATAAGCAACTATTGGCAGAAAGGAGGACTGGTGCAAGTATGAGTAGTGGGGGGGGGGGTGGAGAAGGAAAGAGGAGTGATTGGTGGAATGATGAAGTAAAGGGTGTGACAAAAGAGAAAAAGTTAGCTTATGAGAGGTTTTAACAAAGCAGAAGTGTTATAAGAAGAGTAGAGTATATGGAGAGTAAAAGAAAGGTGAAGAGAGTGGTGAGAGAGTGCAAAAGGAGCGCAGATGATAGAGTGGGAGAGGCACTGTCAAGAAATTTTAATGAAAATAAGAAAAAAAAATTGCAGTGAGTTAAACAAGTTAAGCAAACCTAGGGAACAAATGGATTTGTCAGTTAAAAACAGAGTAGGGGAGTTAGTAGATGGGGAGGAGGTTTTGGATAGATGGCGAGAATATTTTGAGGAACTTATAAATGTCGACGAGAAAGGGAGGCGGTAATTTCATGCACTGGCCAGGGAGGTATACCATCTTTTAGGAGTGAAGAAGAACAGGATGTGAGTGTGGGGGAGGTGCGTGAGGCATTACGTAGAATGAAAGGGAGTAAAGCAGCTGGAACTGACGGGATGATGACAGAACTGTTAAAAGCAGGGGGGGGGGGATATAGTGTTGGAATGGTTGGTATTATTGTTTAATAAATGTATGAAAGAGGGGAAGGTACCTAGGGATTGGCAGAGAGCATGTATAGTCCCTTTATATAAAGGGAAGGGGGACAAAAGAGATAGTAAAAATTATAGAGGAACAAGTTTACTGAGTATACCAGGAAAAGTGTACAGTAGGGTTATAACTGAAAGAATTAGAGGTAAGACAGAATGTAGGATTGCGGATGAGCAAGGAGGTTTCAGAGTGGTTAGGGGATGTGTAGATCAAGTGTTTACATTGAAGCATATATGTGAACAGTATTTAGATAAAGGTAGGGAAGTTTATATTGCATTTGTGGATTTAGAAAAGGCATATGATAGAGTGGATAGGGAAGCAATGTGGCAGATGTTGCAAGTATATGGAATAGGTGGTAAGTTACTAAATGCTGTAAAGAGTTTTTATGAGGATAGTGAGGCTCAGGTGTGTAGAAGAGAGGGAAACTACTTCCCGGTAAAAGTAGGTCTTAGACAGGGATATATAATGTCACCATGGTTTAATATATTTATAGATGGGGTTGTAAAAGAAGTAAATGCTAGGGTGTTCGGGAGAGGGGTGGGATTAAATTATGGGGAATCAAATACAAAATGGGAATTGACACAGTTGCTTTTTGCTGATGATACTGTGCTTATGGGAGATTCCAATGAAAAATTGCAAAGGTTAGTGGACGAGTTTGGGAGTGTGTGTAAAGGTAGAAAGTTGAAAGTGAACATAGAAAAGAGTAAGGTGATGAGGGTATCAAATGATTTAGATAAAGAAAAATTGGATATCAAATTGGGGAGGAGTATGGAAGAAGCGAATGTTTTCAGATACCTGGGAGTTGACGTGTCATTGGATGGATTTATGAAGGATGAGGTTAATCACAGAATTGATGAGGGGAAAAAGGTGAGTGGTGCATTGAGGTATGTGTGGAGACAAAAAACGGTATCTATGGAGGCAAAGAAGGGAATGTATGAAAGTATAGTAGTACCAACACTCTTATATGGGTGTGAATCTTGGGTTGTGAATGTAGCAGCGAGGAGGCGGTTGGAGGCAGTAGAGATGTCCTGTCTAAGGGCAATGTGTGGTGTAAATATTATGCAGAAAATTTGGAGTGTGGAAATTAGAAGGTGTGGAGCTAATAAAAGTATTAGTCAGAGGGTTGAAGACGGGCTATTGAGGTAGTTTGGTCATTTAGAGAGAATGGATCAAGGTAGAATGATATGGGGAGCATTTAAATCTGTAGGGGAAGAAAGTCGGGATAGGAGTCGTTCTCGAAAAGGTTGGAAGGGGTAAGGGAGGTTTTGTGGGCGAGGGGCTTATACTTCCAGCAAGTGCGCGTGAGCGTGTTCGATAGGAGTGAATGGAGGCGAATGGTATTTGGGACCTGACGATCTGTTGGAGTGTGAGCAGGGTAATATTTAGTGAAGGTATTCAGGGAAACCAGTTAATTTTATATAGCCGGACTTGAGTCTTGGAAATGGGAAGTACAATGTCTGCACTCTAAAGGAGGGGTTTGGGATATTGGCAGTTTGGAGGGATATGTGGAGTATCTTTATACGTATATGCTTCTAAACTGTTGTATTCTGAGCACCTCTGCAAAAACGGTGATTATGTGTGAGTGAGGTGAAAGAGTTGAATGGTGACGAAAGTATTTTCTTTTTGGGGATTTTCTTTTTGGGTCACCCTGCCTCGGTGAGATACCGCCGACTTGTTGAAAAAAAAAATTATATATATATATATTATATATATATATATATATATATATATATATATATATATATATATATTATGTATATATATATATATATATATATATATATATATTTATATATATATATTATATATTATATATATATATATATATATATATATATATATGTGTGTATGTATATATATATATTATATATATATATATATATATATATATATATATATATATATATATATATATTATATATATATATATATATATATTCAAGGGTATTTTCTTTCCTCAAAATAATAATTATAATCATATATGTGTCTACATTAATTCGGATTTCCCGCGACTTCAGCCATATTATAGCATTATTTTGTCTTGATGATGGTGAGTGACTCTTGGTTCAAACAATTGCTATTATCATTCCCCAACCTGAGTCGCGTCTGAATGCCTCCCATTCGACGGGCTCTATGTCACCCCTACTTGTTTAGCGCTCTCCCTTGAAACTTTAACAACTGATTCGACTAATGAAATGAATAAAACGTTTTTCGGGTTTAGGCTGTGTAAGGGCACGTTTTGTTGGGTTCTGTACTGATATACTTTCCTTTAATGAAGCTTTGTCTTGTGGTTCTTAATGTGGCGATTTTATTAATCAAATTTATTTTTGTGAAATAACTGGAGAATGTCTCATCTGATTAGGAATCACTCAAAATATCTGACTTTATTGGGTTATCTTAGGTAAAATCCACTTAAAATACTTTCATATGCACGTAATAAATGTGTCATCCAATATTTTTTTTTTCTTGCAGTTTAAATAGGGAGTAAATAATGAAGTGCTCCAAACTTTATCCTTAAGAAAAAGTTTGAACAGATATTTACCTTGGTAGGTTCCATTTGAATGTACTGGTTTCTTTTAGTATAT